TCAGATTTCGCCACACTGCAGCTTACCACCCATAGGTCAATTGTCTTTGCGAGAGATTTCATCGTACGGTGAAGGCAGCCCTTAAAGTCTTTCTCGTTGGAGCAAACTGGGTGGACCGTTTGCCATGGGTCCTTTTGGGCTTACGATCTGCTCCGAAGGAAGACTTAAAGTCTTCCCCTGCTGAGCTTGTTTTGAGTCAGCCCCTTACGGTCCCTGGTGAGTTCATAGCAGAAGGTTCTGGTTCCTGTGTGGTGGCACTCAGGTTTCCAAATGCTGTTCAACAGGCAGGTTTTTCCGTCCCTGTCACAGTACACCACTCTGTTCCGCACGTATGCATTCCTAAAGACCTTACGGCAGCTGAGTACGTGTTTGTCCGCCATGACTCTCATTGTTCCCCTTGCAGCCGCATTACGACGGCCTGTTTCGGGTCTGTGAGGCGGGCCCCAAGGACTTTCTCATTGAATCGGCCGGCGGTCGGGAGAAGGTTTCAATAGACCGTCTTAAGTCAGCTCATTTCTTGCCCGACGTGCCTGTAGAGTTGGCTGTACCACCTCGTCGTGGTCGGCCGCCAAAGCCCCTTCCTACTGGCCTGGTCACTCACCCACAGAGGGTTTTACAGTCCGAGATGGACTCTGTCCATCAAACTAAGACCAGTAGAGGTGGCCGGCTCCTAAAGTTGCCCCATCGTTATAGCTGCTGTTTGCTTCACTTTTATTAAATGGGGGTTTTCTGTGTTTTACTGCCCTTCTGTGTTCTAGGGGGGGCCTGTGTGGTGTTTGCTTGATGTGTTAATCTCACACGAGAAGGGTATATTCTACTACCAAAAAAACGGAAGTACATGCTTTTATTGTGAAGCCGAGTTGTCATGGTGATTTAGTATTTATGAGTTGAGTGGAGAATAAAGTGCTGTTTTTGGTAACAAATACCTCCTCTGATCCTTTGTCCATCTGCCAACTCCTACAGTGTCACACTTTCACAACTACAACTGACGTGCATGTGAGATAGAGGTACAATTGACCTTTAGAGCAGGGGTATTCAATTCTGATCCTGGATGGCCGGTATCCAGCAAGTTTTAGTTTTAACCCTGCTCCAACACACCTGATTTCAATAAGTAGGTGATTAACAGGCTTCTGATGCCTGATGAGCTGCTGCACAGGTGTTTCAACCACTGAATCAAGTGTTTTGGAGCAGAAGAACCACTAAAACGTGCTGGATACCAGCCTTCCAGAACCAGAATCGAATACCCCTGCTTTAGAGGACATGAACTGCTTTGATTATAGAAAGTTGTTGAGCCATCCAATATTTGTTACCAAAAGAAAAAAAAAATCCTATGATTTTTATGACTTTCTGCCATGTCATGAAACATCCTATAGAACAATGGCTCCTGGTAGCAAAGTTGTCAATCACACTGGTCTTTGAGAGCTCTAGACCAGATTGTTGTGTCTGTAGGGATTAACGGGCCGTGGCAGGAGAGAAACAGGAGAGGAGAGGTCACTCGGGATTCTAAATTAACTCTGCAAAGCTGAAGGAGAAGAGGAGCTGCAGCAGGATGAATGCTGATTGGCTGGTTATCAGCCGTAGGAGGCGATGGGTAATACATGACCAGTGGTGTGGACCTCAGACTCATATTGTACCATTCTGGGGTGACATGTTCAATTCACTCCAATCTAATCCAATTTATTTATAACACACCAATAAAAAACAACAATGTGTACCAAAGTGCTGAACAATAAAAACATACATAAAAAGAAATAAATAACACAATTTGTAGCAATCCTATACTAGTTGCAGTAAAAAAACAACCAAATCAATGGAAGGCTAAAAAAAGGTGAGTCTTCAGGCGAGTTGTAAACACAGTAATGGAGTCTGCCTGTTTTACTAAGGCAGAGTGTTCCATAACCTGGGACCAATTACCGAAAAGGCTCTGTCTCCTCTGCTCTTACGTTTTGTCAGGGGCACAATGAGTAGTCCACGATCAGCCGACCGAAGAGACTGCACAGGCACACGAGAAGTCAAAAGCTCAGACAAATATTGTGGGGCAAGACCATTTTGGCAGTTAAAAACAAGTAACAAAACTTTAAAATCAATTCTGACCGGAAGCCAATGAAGGCCCAAAAGAACCGGCCAAATATGGCCATACTTCCGGGTACCAATTAAAAGACGTGCTGCGGCAATCTGAACCAGTTGCAGACATGAAACCAGAGACTGGCTGATGCCCACATGCAGGACATTACAGTAGTCCAGCCCAGTCATCACAAACGCATTGATAAGAATTTAAAATATTTGTTGAGATAACAGGGTTTTAATCTTTGCTAGCTGTCTCAAGTGAAAAAAGCTAGCACTCATCACTGAGCTAATGTGTTAATCAAGACAAAACTAGTTGTCCATTTTCACACTGAGATTTTTGACCACAAGCTTAAGAAACTGTGTTAATGGCCCCAAATCCAAACAGTCAGTACCACCTGATTGTTTTGGGCCAACTTGTAGAACTTCGGTTTTAGATTCATTGAAATACAAGAAGTATTCAGACATCCAAGATTTAACCGCAGGTCAATCTATAAATTATATGACTGACCCCTGGCCAAAATGGTGCATCTTATAGTGTTTTTAAACCAAGTAGACAGAGGTGGAGTGTACAGCAAGGAATACAGTCAGTAAAGATGGTTCTCTCTGGCCCTGCCTAAAAGGCTAATTACCCCTGTAGTTGGGCTGCAATAGGCTTAGACTGCCAAAGGACTTCAAAAGCAAATTCAATTCAAAGATACTTTATTAATCCCAGGGGGAAATACTGTTATTTCAGACACATGACAAGAATTGGTGACTGTGGTCATTCACAACACGAGTCGCGCTACCGTCATAGATCAAGAGGGTTTATATGACGATAGAGTCGGGGGAGGGGAAAAAAGGCACTTCAGAGTTACCCCCGACAGAGAGGATAGCTTTGCTATGCAAAAAAACCACCTCAGACAAATATGCACACAGACTTCAGATGATACACAACATAAGTGTCCAATAGGTGGGGAGGTAGGGTTGGGACTCTCCTCACTTTGGTTCATGCAGCCGCAAGAGCAGCACTCATCACCTCCGTTTGGACAGGGGGGAGGGGGGGGGGGTTATGGGTTAGAGAGCACATTGACTCCTAGATACGGTTCCACAGCCTTCACCGTTCACAGTCCCATCCAGGCTGGGATAGGGAGAGAAGGTTTCCATAGCGACTGCAGCATTCCACATTTCTTCTGAGGGGGAGTTTTCATTTCAGCCTCACAGGCACCAGATTCAGATGACAAGAATTGTTTTGGATACAGACAGAGATAATTTCCTCTCTACCTTAGAGTTCTGTTGGTCTTCAACCTCTCCAGGTCCAATAATGGCATTATTAATCTATTCCAATCCATGCTGATTTGTCAGCTCTCTCCTTGATCGAATCCACCTTCTGTGCTAGAGCCTGAATCTCAGCCATAGTTCCACGCTTACGACTCATCTCGACAATTATTTGATTTTGTGCGTTCACAGCGCGATGCATTCAATCCCTGAGCTCTGAATTAAGCCGATATTCCTCGAAAGCTCGTAAATTTTCCGGTATGCCAGGTAACCGCTCAGGCCAAACAGCAGGAATCCCGACACCAAAACGACGAATATCCAGACATCTTCAGAATCCTCCACAGACAGTTGAGAGAGGCATATCAGGTTCCACTGTTTCCAGGAGTCCATGATATACCCATCTGTCTCTGTCCCAGAGGGGCATCTGGGAGCCCCTTCTCATCATTGAAAATTTTTTGTCAATTGCGTTGAGAGACTAACTGATCAGATCCATGTTTAAAATAATTTCCATTTTCCAGAAAAAATGTAGAAAGCGCTGTGCACAGGCACAGGACAGAGAGCCTTGGGAAAAGGAGGGAGGGAGAGGAGAAAAAAGTGTCTGTACTCTCCAAGAGCCGGAAGAAAAACTGACCCCTTTCCACACTCTACTACTCTCTTCTACCACTACTTTCTAATTGCATATTTTCCTGTTCTTTTAACTGTTAACATTATTTTCCTTCTAAGCGTTTTTCTCCACAGAAGCAGCTACACTAGCATTCTGCTGAGCTGTCATAGGGAGAGAGTTTTTCTCTCCACTCTCGCTACATGCTTGCTTAGTATGGGGATTCATGCTTTTGGGGTTGAGGAAGCCGAGGTTCAAACATCATGTGCTAAAACAGATTTGTTTTATTTGAACAGAAAATACAGACAAACAGGTGAAAACACAATCCTTCATCAATACTGAAGCAGCCCTGTAGCTGTGTTTATTTGTGTCTGTCTTTGTGTTCGTTGTCTACACTAAGCATGTGTATGTGGCTGTGTTTAAGTGTGTGTGTGTGTGAATCACAGGCATGAGTGGATCATCCTGCCATGAAAGAGTCTATCGATCAGTGTGTCAGCATCTGGGAAAAAGGTTAATCTGCCCGATGCCAGCTCCGCGCCTCACCACATCTTTGGCCTGCCCAATGTCCCGCCCCTACCTGCTTCCTCTCTTATCAGGATTAGAGGAGTGTACAAAAGGGCAGCACATTCCCAGGACACACACTGACCTTCAGTAATCCCAACAACACGACGCTTGCCTATAATTAACATCAGGAACAGAGAGAGGCAAAAGAATCCCTGGCCTACCGGTGCAGCATTCCTCTGACTTGAGGGGCAAAACTACAAACGGAAAAAGTTACAGCAGAGAGGAAGGCTCAAAGCACCAGGTCTCGCAACACTTATGTGTTTTGAATGCCTGGGAGAGCATGGCTGACATTCTAGAGGTGCTGACTAGTGTACCCATAATCCCTTGTGTCCAGACCCTAAACACAGAGTTTAGAAACATGCTGAACCAAGCAGGGAAGGAGAAAATGTTCCTGGGACCAACAGACACTTTGGTGGTGAAGGGATGTAGAGCACAAAATGCAAGACATGAGAGCTTGTGTGTGTGTGTGTGTGTGTGTGTGTGTGTGTGTGTGTGTGTGTGCGTGTGTGCTCACCGGGTCTTGGTTCATCTGTACTATGAGCTGTTTAACAGCGTGCAGTGTGGGGTGTGCCCAGGGAGAGGGATCCTGCCAGTGGCGATTCAGGTCGAAGCCCATCAGAGAACACCTGTATGTAGAAAAATCTAGTAAAATAACAATAACAAGGAAAGAAAGGTTAAAAGGCAAACATCTTACCTATTAGTGGTATTATGGATCAAGTATAGAGCAAGAGAGAATATTTAAAAGGTCCTGATTGGTTTGCAGTTTGTGTAAAAAATAAACTTCCAGGCAAAACGTTGAAGACGTCCTACTGATGTACAAATAGTATGATAAAAAGAAAACCGACTGATTTCTTACAAAATAGTGAGGCAAACCTGTCGTCACTTTCTCTACATCAATTAATGCATAATAATCACTTATTAATGATATATGAAGTGTTAAAGTTTCATAATAATGCTATTTTAAATCGTTGTGAGCAAAGGCAGTCACAATATATGATAAAATATTACTGTTGGCACTATTGAGATGTAATTTATCTAATCATAAAAATTATTTTTGTCAGCCTGAATTTATACCTTCAAATGAAACGGTTTGATTCAGTGAAACTCCACCCACCTTTTCTCTGACAAAACGCACTTACAAGAGCGTCTTAGGCAAACCTGCTGCCACACTGGCCTTGGTAGTCCAGTGGTTATATTAGTGAACAGTCTGGTACTCTGACCACTGGACTACAAGTTTGCTACAAAAGCAATAGTCGCCTGTATGCTGGCCATTACGTGCTTCTTTTTAGACAGGATGCATGGTTTTTACACTAGTGTTTTGTCCCCAATGCAGAAGTAATTTGTCCGAATATCCAGGTTTCAGAACTGAGACCAGACCAGCTTCATGGAGAGGATGATGACCCAAGTAGCTTTTATTCAGGCCTTTTCAGAATTTTCAAAGTAAAACTCTACATTTGCAGCTGATACAGGAAAATGCATGTCTGAAGCAAAAACGAGTTTGGTTTAGGGTTCACCGATGCACCATTTCCAGGAACTACAAGTGAGCCACATCACAGCTGACATTCAGACGGCAGGCTTTGGAGTCTTATTTCCTGATATTTGGACACCTGGCCCTGGAATGGATAGCAACAGCGCAACTGTTGTGGAATGT